GGCTGTACTTCACTTCGTGCGTGCGCACTTATATACGAAACCGTTCTCACCTCTCTCTTCTGCGCCATCGCCGCAAGCGGCGTCCTAATGTGAGAGCAAAGGGCTGAGGCGCGCGTGTCCGCATCGCCAGGCGCATCCGGCGCCCGCCGCCCGCCCGCGCGTCTTAGAGGCGCCGCCGACGCCCTCGCGGAGGAAAGCTACTTGCGCGCGCGGCGGCGAAGACAAGGCACTTGACGCATGGCTAGGAAAGGCGAGGAGCAAAATTTCGGCTGAGGGGTTAGGCGGTAGAGATCGTGGGTAGGTGGTGGCGGTGGCGGTGGCGGTGGCGGTGGAAGTAAGGGGACTAGAAAATAGCGAGAGACGTGTGACAAATGAAGGTGGAGAGGATGGGATGGAGGAGTGGAGGGAGCTGTGTCAGGTCGTTGGAGTAGGGAAGCGGAGTAGAAGGGGAGCAGAACAAAGACACGAGGCGGAGCTGGAGAAAAGTGGTGAGGGACGGCCCGAGCAAGGGACGGACCGAGCAAGGGACGGACTCGAGGTTAAAGGCGAACGTAGGAGATGATCAGGGCGCCAGCAGCACAGGCGGGGCAGAGAGCGGGGCGAAGGGCGAGAGCGGGGAGAGCAAAGTGCGGGGTCGAAGGCGTGGGAGAGCGGAACCGCAAGTGTTCCCTCTCAATTGGACACGACGCGCCCCGTACAGAGCGCACCCCGCTGTTAAAACAACGCGAGTGCCGAGGGGCGCCGCAGGGGCCTAATCTGCGCCGCCACCTCCCTCTCCCCCCCTCACTCCCTCCTCCACACTCACTCTCTGCGCTCGCGCTCCTCCCGCTATCTGCGTCGCCACCGTTTTCTCTGGGGCTTATTGTCCTCCCGCATCCAGTGCCCACCACATTGTGGACATCATCTTCCAAATGTATAAGGATTCTCTCATTTTCGTGTTTCGTTCAGTGCAGCTTATGACGTACATGACTCCGCTCCTAGTCTCCCTTTCCCATTATTCAACCTCCTGAAACAGCTTCGTCTCCCTGCCCACCTTACATTGAACTTCACCTTTTACTTCCTCTCGTAATTCTTGCTGCAGTGAAGATCGTTCTCCGTGAATTCGCCACCTTGCCTCACTTCACACTTCTTCCCCCGCCTCCGCCGCTCCCGTTCTGAGTCAGCGGCGCGAGGGAGCGCGGGCGTGCCGTCGCCCCCGCCCCCGCCCCGCCGCGGGGTGCTCGCTTTCCCACCGCCGCGCGTAACAAAAGTTACGATTTGTTTGCGCAGCGCAAACGTCGGTTAGCATTCATTTCGCGCCAGCTGGGGCCCGCCGCCGCCGCCGCAGCAGACGAGGCGGCGGCAGCGAGGGTGTGGGGGTGGGTGTGCGGGCGGCGGCGGCGGCGGTCGTGTCGCCGACGACGCCCCCGGGACCTGTTAGCGACGCCGCGCATGTGTGCGTTCGCACCCGCGCCGCGGGAACGGCCGGCAAGGGCGGAGGGTGCGCGTTGAGGGGGCGGGGCTGCAGCAAAAGTGTTGCCTCAGGCGCCGACGATCTGTACGACCCTCCCGAAAGGAATATGATCCACGATATGATCGATTATTTCGTGTTTCCGGCCGTATTAACTTTTATTGCCATTAGTCCCGTCAGTGTATTACATGTTTTACAACGGAATGTAATCGTCTCCCGGTGGATAGTGAGATCCGGCGCCGTCTTACATTGCGACGTGCGGGGTTCCCTCCTGCAGGTATTTCCCACCAGCAGGGCACCACCCCCAGCGGCGAATGGCCCCTGACACGAGTAGCAGTGTAATGCTAAGTGTGTGTGTGTGTGTGTGTGTGTGTGTGTGTGTGTATGTATGTATGTGAGAGAAGACAAGGACGACGAAGGAAGGGTCGCGCGCGGTCTGTTTGTCAAGGAACTGATCCGCCATTCGCCTGATGATAATCTAAGAAACCACCGACAAGTACATTGCGAGCAGCTGGAGCGGGTGACTTCGATCTGGTTATCTTGCGAAATGTAAGTGTGGTCATTCCTGCCTAGCTCAGATGCGTTGCAGTGACCTCAGAAGCCACCTAAACCGGTGTATGAAATATACTGGCTTCCTTGGAGCCTTGGCGCCAAGTCGCATGACGTCAGTTGTGACTCAAGTAGTGACACAATGAGTTCGATAATTCAGACTACTCCCAGTCTGAGAATAAGAAGAATAACTACTACTATTATATATTTATATTTCAAAGCCTAAACTAATTATTTTTACTTTTTTCGCCAGTTCTTGGGTATTTAACAGAACAACACAACAGTCGCCCCCCCTCATGCTGCAGGTAGTGTAGTTTTCCGTTTCTGCACGAACTGCAAATTAATAGGTAATACAGATTACGAGTGCTTTTAAAATACCAGTAATTCGCGAGTTGCGCAGCAATGAGATATTTTATCTGGAAATTTACTCTGCGCGAACGTTTTTAATATGCTTCTACATCATGAAAGAAACGGCGTGCATTTTATAATTGAATCTCATATTTTCAGCGCATGCCTCGACCTATATATGCAGACGACGATACGCTGGTAATGAAGAGGAAGGAAAACGGAAGGAGTAATCGAAACATTTCTTGGGAGGCACCGCCCCGAACGTGCGTGCCATAAATACTGCAATTTATCTTGAGTGAAAAAATACTTTAATGAAAGAGAATGATTAATAAAGAAATATTAATATTAAATCATATTTTATCAGTAGCTGAGATTTTAAAAGTAGGCTTATTATGCGATTTCACAATTAAATTAATGCATGGTATCATCATGATTAACAATAATATAATAATAATAAAAATTGTCTATTAGTGGCGATGCTTAGGTCATACCGCCTGCTCTTCCGCCTAACCATATAGTCATCTTATGGTTATAATGGCCTAATCGTAATAATAATCGATAAATCTCTGCTTATGGACGGCGAAACGCTGATACAACAATATAACTCCATTAGTCAAAGGGTGAAATAGTTTATGAATTTTAGAATTCAAGATATTTTTGCTTTTCATACGGATAATGGTACTGCTATAGCTGATAAAAATTGAATGAGTTTGCTCTCAAGATAAAGTTGCTCCCTTCTTTCTTTGGGAAATTCATACTTTTGTATATGGCAAGTTGTCGTCGTCTCCTGTGGCTGTGGTACCCAAAAATGTTCCAGATCATTCTCATGATCCTAAATATGCATTAAGTATATTTACTTCTACCTGGTCAGTAGCGACGGGTCTTAATTATTTGACGAGCAATATTCATAGTTCCACACTAATGTTACTATTTTAATGTTCGTCATGAACCAGAAGCTTTATCATAAAGTGGTGAAATACGAGTTTTACTGAAAACAAGTATTTAAAGCCCATAACATAGTATAGAGAAATTAGAATAAAACTCTTTCGAGATAAATAACTTATTTTATCGTACGCTGAATGATAATTTCGGGTAAAAAATTGGAATTCAGAAATATAATTGCTAATGTCTTTGAAATGATATCTGGAGGATATGTGTAAAAGTCTGATTCTAAATTTATAAAGTTTCTCCACATCACTATAATATACTGAGCATTAGCTTTTGTTGGTCATCCTGGAACCTAGAAAGTCGCTCCTCCGTGAGCGCAGAATCCTGGTTCTATCTGGTTACGTGACCCCTGCTCCACCCGAACTGTCACAGCTCGCATAAACAGCCGGACGCCATAGAAAGCGCGGTGACACCCAAACCGTTCTAATCCTGCGAACGCCAAGTAAAGGCAGGCCAACGCGTCTTCGGACAAAAATAAATAAACCTCTCTACTGAAGGAGTTCAGCGACCTCGTCACAACCTGGTCACAACGTCCTGGTCTGCCTTAGCATTAACTCCCTTTCCATTGTCATAAATTCTTAAGTTGGAAAATACGAACGTACAACTAACCAGATAACTAAACTACTCCTTCATTTTTGTTTTTGTTAATACAGTTAAATTTCTGTCCAGTTGAAGAATGAAATAAACTTAAATTCTAGAGGAAAATTAATATTTTAAACAATTTTTATCTCAAAATATTTACAATCTGATTTTCTCGAATAAGTTACGAGTGAAAAGTATACTTTTCTATTTTTTAGAACAGTTTATACGTTTACATCATTTTGGAAGTAATAATTATAATTATATGTTTCAATGATGACATTTCCACAAGAATCTCTGACATGATTATTTAAAGCTCATTTTTCCCGTGAATACGGCCAGAGTTGAAAATACACGATATATAGCATACTTATCACACAAAATTCTTAAAATAGTTCAATACTTCACTTGTTCAAACTAGAAAGAGGCACTGTTGCCTCTTACTACCATCTCATCTATGTAGAAGAAAAAGCGTTACAGTGCTATAGTCGTCAGAAAAACTCCCTACCGTCAAAAGAGAGGATAAATCTTATTCCTAGTTGTAGAAGATTACTTGATCAAATACTTGTCGAAAGAATACCTTTACATTAAGCCTTAATCCATTTATAAAACTGCCTTCCAAATGGATTCTAATCGATTGATTTTTTTTCGGAACAAAAGACGCTTATAAAAAGTGTAGGTACAGCATTCGTTAAACTCCATGAATTTTTAAAAATAGTAAAAATTAAAAACTGTCTTTCTAAAATGACAATATTTAAGATATTCTTCAAAAAATCTATTTTTAAAGAGCCTGTACAATTTTTCGAAAAAAACTGGTAGTTTTTATATCATTATGGGTAAAATTAGTAGAGTTTTTTAAAATTTCAAAAACGGCAACAAATATTACCTTCATTATTTTACGCATAGAGAAGAGTTGGTTTATAAAAATGGTCTCATTTCCGCTGAACTATTTCCAAAAATTGCAAAAAGTACTGAATTTGAGAAAATATGCGATATTACTTTTAGTATACATGAAAGTATGACCTACTTACTTTTTTATATTTTTTATTTTTCCTTTTTTAAATTTTTTTCATTATTAAGTTTCTTTATTAGGCGTCTGAAGTGGAATGTGGGAAGATAGTCTCACCTGCACGCGCGACTCTGGCAGGTTGATCTTGAGCGCCACCTCCTCGCGCATGAAGATGTCCGGGTAGCGCGTCTTGGCGAACAGCGCCTCCAGCACGTCCAGCTGCGCGCGCGTGAACGTCGTGCGCTCGCGCCGCTGCTTGCGCGGGTTCACTCCTGAAACAGCAACGCAACATTCTGCTTTCACTTCGAATGCTCTCGACAACAAAAATGTGTTTGCCAAGAAATATGGCCATTTGCATTTGCATTAACACTCGTTACGACAGGCTTATGGGTTATATATCTATAATGCAAGAAAAGCACATCAACAAACAACTAGGGCTGAAAGATGAACAAGATGGTCAGAACGAAAATAATACAAATCAGCGAGTCAGTCAGTCTAGAGTTGAACTGTGCAAGTATTCTTTAACGACACCAATTTTCAATAATAAATTTCCATTTACGACCATGAAAATCACTATAACATCTCTATTGTTAATTTTTATTTTCTCATGTGAAATCAAATTTTATTCTTCACAGACCCTCCTGCCGTTCTTCTGGATGATGACTTGCTACTTCCGATTTCCATTATTACTTATGATGATTCAACCCTAGGCTTCTGACTGGCTTGAAGTGTTGGGGTAGGCTCGCTAGTGCTTATTGAGTTTCTTCCGAATGGCATTGCCCCCGCGTCGAACGATGTGCTGCGGTGTAAGTTCTCGGGTGATCTACTTGCTCTGAGACGGGCAGCTTATACGAACGATTGATCTTCGAATTCTAGTTTCTGTGTTCAAATCAGGCTGGCACCAGTGAATCTCCGAAGGCTTAAAATCCTTGCTACGTGACCCTTCTGGCGCGTTAAAGAAAGCAGGCGAAATTGTCGGAAGTTTAAATTCCCTCATAATTCGTGTTCTTATCAGATCTCACTTACGCTCGGCCAGGAGACACAAGTAACTGATAAAAACGTCCTAGACTGGCTATCTATCTTTGAGGCTGACAAACCATGTGCCTGCAAAGCAGTGTAGAGTTTATCGCGTATGTGGCGTCAAATAGAGGCCTAACACACAACAATGAGAACCAGAACAAACAGCAACAATCCTGGCCTTGCCAGAAACATGCTACACAGAATATCAGCCAGTTGATAAGGTGTCATTAAAGTCAAATCTTCAGACAACAAAAGCAAACTTTACTCCCGATTCTGTTTACTATTCAAAAAACACGAAGAAAGAGTATTTCAACTAAGATATGCAAGAATGAACAAAAACTTACTGTAGTAACTTCACAGATCTGTTAGCTTCTCTATGTTCTTATTCCAATTTCAACATTATTTAAGAATATACTCAACAGTACAGTTTTACATATTGCGGAACTGGACATCCGTTGGCATGTTAAACCTCAATATTTAAGAACATAGTAAGGTAGAATTTCTATTATAGGCATTTTATTTAACACACAAATATACACTACGCACATACCAAAACTAGTGAACCAATTCTGTAGAGAAATAATGGTTTAGATAAATGTGACCAATTTTAAATCGCTGGATTTAATACTTTACTTTGGTTCTAATCAATGAGAAACACATTATAGTAAATTATAATATTCCGTTATACTAGTCTCAGAAATTCATCGCTGCAATTAAGTTTCTTGTGAAAATTGCAGAATATGCAGAAGACCTACAATGTATACACATTTACTTTCTATTCGAACATTTAATTGTATAATATTTTGCTCACTGATGACTCCTTGACGCGACCGAGTAAGCACCAAACAGAAAAAGTATGTTAAATAGTTCCTTATATTGCCAGGGATAATGAACTATTATTAGCAAAGCTAAGCTTCCATAATACCACCAAATGGCGTAAGTCCAAAAACATGGGTATTTCGATGGTAATTTGCAAAACTAAGTAGCCCCGCTGCACAATGAACGGAACATAATAAGCCCGCACTTCACGACCCACGGCGCGTATTTCATCGGCCATTCTTCCCCAGATATAACTCTCGGCTACTCTCGCCCCTCGAAGCGGCTAGCGCGACCGCCGCGAGCCAGGCAGCGCGCCACGCGGCGTCTCCTGAAAATACGAATTTATGGAGCGGGCGTCAGCGGGGAATATCACGATAACTCAGGGGCCGGCCGTCGCGCGGCTAATGCTGCATTCATCACGGGAGCCTTTTCAAAATGGCGGCGGTGCTGCGTCCCGTGGCCGCCGCCGAGGCAGCCTGCCCCGCGCCGCGCGCATCTCATGCGACTGGGGCGGCGGCCATCTTTTAAAGTACCTTCGTCTTTCTCCCCCGAACGGCGACGGCAGCTGCGGTCCCGCCACAGTCTCGTCCCACGGACGTGGACGTTGACTGGTTATTTCGTGTTCCCGGGCGCGTAAACTAATTTGATCGTTATTTGCCTAAGTGTGGTGCATGTTTCATCATGGATGGTGGCAGCATTTTCTAACCTCTGGATGGCGAGATCCGGTGTCGACTTAGCGGGGAATCTCCCATCAGCGGGCACAGCAGGGACAAACACTGCTCTTCCGATGTGTAGAGGTGTAGTGCATGTATAAGTAAGGTATCAGGATAGGACAAAAAATGAGATTGTGCGTGGTCCACGGTCGTTAGGGTACAGCTCCGGCATTCGCCTCGCATTGAACGGGAAAACCACAGAAAACCACCGATCAGAACAGCCGGCCACTACAATTACCCTCCAGCTGAATTCCGACCTAGCTAGTGTCTAAAATCCTGATACCGACGTGACCGGTCAGAGATACTGCAGTGTCATCAGTAGGTGCCCTGAGCCATCCCAGCCGGTCCGCGGACGAGGTTTGAGATACACAACCCTTGGTCAATTATATAAGCAGCGCCACCCTTAATGCCCGACTTCAAGCGTACTCACGCGTGGCATTTCATCCAGGCACTCGTAAGGAAATCCACAGGAATGAACCGATTGATAAAACATCTCGAATAAACATGCATTTTGATAATTTCGAAACCTTTTACCAACTTGCATGGTAAACAAAGTTTTGGCATAAGCAAGGGTAATAAAAAAAAGGGTAAAGATAGAAACGAAAGAATAACAAACCGCGAGAATGCAAACAAGTGAATGGGATCGCGAATGAATTCGCAACGACGGACACACGCGCGTACATGAAGCAGAGCGCCCGCCCGGGATCTAGCGCGATGCAGGCGTG